TCATTTGTTCAATCTTAATTTTATGAAGCTACGAAAAACTTTTTGTGTGCGAAGAAAACTAAAAATAATAACTTTATGACATGCATGCGTCGTGGTACTCTCGTGAATGTGCATTGAAGACTGAAACGGAAGAAAACAAATTGTTGAATAAAGTCGTTATTTTTGTTTTCTTTGTGCACAAAAAGTATTCTTTTGTAACTTCATAAAATTACGGTTGAACCACTGATGTCACATGGACTATTTTAACGATGTCCTTACTACCTTTCTGGGCCTTGAATGTGGTAGTTGTGTTGCTGTCTATGGGAGGTTCAGAGAGCTCTTGGATTTCATCAAAAATATCTTAATTTGTGTTACAAAGATGAATGAAGGTCTTACGGGTTTGAAACGACATGAGGGTGAGTAATTAATGACTGAATTTTAATTTTTTGGGTGAACTATCCCTTTAACAACAATGGAGCAAGTTGAGGTGTGGTGGTAAAGGTTGAGCCCTTTTTGTCCCCACAAGGAGTGAGCCATAAGCCATTACTTCAGTATTCCACTTAGCCAGCAAGTAAATAGACATTAGCCGCATTCCATCCATTCGTTTTCCAAACCACTTGTACACCCTGGATTACAGCCAGTCCATCACAGGGTTAAAATGTCTTTGGATTAGGGGGGAAACCAAAGCACCTGGAAAAAACCCATGCAAACTTCACACAGTAGGGATTCAAACCAGGGACCTTCTTGCTGTGATGTTACAATTCTTCCCACTAAGCCACCATGCAGCCATTCACCACCTTCTTTCAAAGTGATTTATTGCACACTTGTAGGCATAGTCTCCCTTAAGTGCTGAGGTACTAAAAGCTTGTGTCCTGCTCTTTGGAGAATAACCTTCTAGAACCTTCTACACTCTGGTCCTGAGCTTCTTGGTGGATTGTACCACTGTCCTTGCTCCAATCCCTGTGACAAATGATTGTCAGCATCTACTTTCATTATCCAGCTGTCAGTAGATATCTGTCGCCTTAGCAATGTAATTCTGTTACTGTTACTGCTACAATGATCAGGAATAAAACCAGGATCACTTGGAGAGGTTGTATGTCTCTGCAATTTCTGCAGCTCATTCATTACATATTACATTCAGAGCACTTGAGCTTATTTATGGGCAATGTTCTTTACCGTAGAGCCTTGGGATCCCATAGGCACATGCTAAAGTGGGTTAGATGCAAGAGAGGAGATCCTCGACTATTAATTTCCTGACTTTGAGAGGAGAGTTCTCCAGTGGTTCTGGATGGAAAATAAGTGTGTGCCAATTCTGACAAGATGGAAATTGGGCTGGGTCTTCAAGGGCTTGTTTATGTCAAGAGGCTCTCGGTAATTGTGGTTTTCTTTGCTGGGTTATGGTGCCTCTGCCCATTAGGAAGGTCTCCACCCTTCCATTCACTCTGTACAGCTGTAGAGCTGCTTTAGTGACTAATCAGAACAAAACAGTCTTCACTGTTCAGGCCTTAAATAAAGACCACACAAAAAGGTCAATGAAAACTCCTGCTGCTGTCAGCAGCAGAACTCAGAGGAGAGATGTGAGCATGCACACTAAATATGTCAGCAAAAAGCCCATGATAAACCAGGTCAATGAATAAGCAGAAGAGCATGTTCTGGATAATACCATGATCAAACCAGCTGAGCTGTGTTTCACAAATCCAGAACATTGGTGTGTGAGACGAGTCGAGAGGTGCTGGTTTTGGCACTTTGAGTCTTCAGTTTCTGTTCTCTTGCTTAGTTGGAATATGTTTTATATGTTTTATATTCATACCTATCCACTATTTAGAGCACATATGAGAATATAGGCTACAGTGGGTTCCAAAAATCTGGGACCACTAATGAAAATGCTTTTAGGCTTATTTTATGCCATAATGTTTCTTTTCATCATATTCCATGTTTTCCTTAAACAGACCGATATTTATCTGTCATCTAATTGGCTACCAAAATAATAATGATGCTAAAATATGATACTAAATTCAGCAATGTACAAAACATTAAATGTATTAAACATAATAATCAGTATGAACAATTCTTCTGCTAAATAATATAGTTGCTGTTTACATAATGCGAATATCGTGTTGTTTACAGTTAAAATTAAGCTCATGTAATCAGTGTTTATTCAATCAGCCAATTTAGACATAACATAAAAACACTTCTTAAAACAATTTATTGAAATTAAAGGTCTAAACAAATACTTTCCAGCACTACTTGAAAAAATATAGTTGCCATAATAAAATAATTACCCTGTATTAGTCTTCAACATTGGAAAATGCTTATTATAAAACGGATAGTTCTGGTCCTTGATTCTGATTGGTTGAGACCCCTTAGCTGTTATAAATTCACTGTAAACCACGGCTTCACAGGGCTTACTGTTTTAGTCAAGAAAATACTTAGGAAAATGCTTAGTCAATGGTATTTGAGCAATATAGACACACAGCAGCTGTTTGTAACTTGTTTCTAATGTACAATAATTTTAGCTGGCTGCTTTATATTGCATAATGGTATTGCTTATATTATATTTTATTAATTACCATAATCATAAACACCTTTAGCTGTAGCGCCAATAGTTTTACCATTTACTGCAGTTGTTCTTCTAGTTATTTACCTATAGTGGCTAATCAGTTGAATGACAGAAAATGGTTTACGTTTGGATTGCTAAATAAGATGGATAGGGACAGAAAGAGTGAAATGACTGGTTTTGTTTGTGACTCTTGACACTTTAGCTGTGTGTGTGGGTTGTTGTAGCATGTGTGGGTGATTCTGATTAACAGCCTGACTGTTCCAGTGAAATTACTCCATTTGAGACCTGATCTGATCCTGCAGCCCTAAAATTTGAGATTGCCTCGTTTATCAGTTTTGTAGCTATGCTGCAATTAATGTCATGTAATTGAATTTTTATAGGCATCTTTACAGGAAATCATGCATTTACATCTTACAGCCCCTAGTGAGTAAGTCAGAGGTGGTTGTGCCAAGGAAAAAACTCCAGAAGATTTAGGCAGTGGAGGGAAAGAACCTGTGTGGGAAACCCTTCCTCCTGTGGCATAACAGTGAATTCATGCTCCTCGTGTGGGTTTTTTGAGCAAAGCAAACACTGAGCTCTCTCTTCACCTCATTTCATTGTTCATTGCTGAAGAATGTAGAACTGTGACATTTCTGTGTTTGTAACTTGCATGATTTTTAGGGGTTTTCCATCATCAAACTGCGTCAGTACAGGAGACAGAATACAGCATGTGTGTATGTGAAGTGGTTCACCATGACTTTCCCTCAGACTCTGAGAAATTACAAGGGTTTTTACATGGTTAAATTACATTTTTTTTCAAATCAGCTTTCATTCATTCTGTGCAGTATTTGTGCATAATTGGTGATGGTGTTTTTAGGGTCATTATTCCAATGTTTCAGAGTAGGCCTGGGCGATAAAACGATATCGATATTTATCGATGGTACACCTTCTTCGATAACGATAGAAAAAATGTTCGATATAGCGCACGATATAGGCACGTGTACAAATATGACTGCTGCACTCGCGTCTCACACAAGAGATGTATAGAAAGCCATGCAAAGTTAAAACAGTTTAAACTTTTAGAAAACACGTCACAAATTTGTGGAGGTTAGGTTTATTCCTTTTCACTGCGTCTCATATGTTTTTAAATGCAATCTGTGAATGTGCTTCGGCTCTTTGGATTAAGCAATGCATAAGTACATGATGCTGTTTTGTTTATGCAATTTACGAAATTATATTTGATTTTTATGAGTTAATTTAGACGTAATGCACGGTTTTTATAGAGTTACTTCCTTGCCTTGACAATTTAAATGCTCTTTTATTTTGCTCATTGCGCTCTCCTGTGGCCTCGGGAAACAAGCCAAAAGTTTCCTTATAGACCTATTTAATCTGCATATCAAACATTAGAAATTAGATATTTGTAAAAAAAAATGTAATTTTATAAAAAATATCAATAATTATCGATACCGAACGATATGAAACATTATATCGTTGATGAATTTTTTAGCTATATCGCCCAGCCCTATTCCAGAAGTTTTTAGAGTGTGTCGACCCAGTATGAGCAGATTTTTTGGTTTTTTTTAATTCGTGCAAATAAGTACTTCCTATAAATCTGTAGCTATGTTTTTGTGTCTGTTTCAGTAATATGAATTCCTGTAGAAAATCAGGTTGAATAAATGTAGTAATCTATCTTACAGTTGTGATTTATTACCATGTTATTTATCACCATCATAGAGTTATTTAGCAGTTTAAGTTTTACGCAATGATTTTGATGGACTGTGATGAAAGCTTGTGAGTTTTATTTGTTACAGTAGGAAAAATCAGTTTCACTGTATGATCCCTATAATTCCAATTGTAACTGAATGTTTCAGATGATTATCTGCTGTGATATGAGTGGTTTTGCCCGCTGAGTTTTCGGCACCCACACAGATGGGGTTTGAAACAGTGATGGATTGCCATGGCTACAGGAGGATACTGTGAGTGAGATCTAGCAGTCACATGGTGAATGAAAGTTTGTGAGGACACTGTGGCGTCTGGCTAGAGAGCAATAAGCACATTTCTGTGATGCTGAAGGCAAGTTTACTACTCTGCTGTGACTCAGGAGAGTTTTTATTGATTTGTGCATTGTCATTTGGATCAGTTTGAGCCTCTTGAGGACATCTGCAGGTATTTGCGGATCTTTTTATTTACTCTTTTGTGCCACTATTGCATGTTTGGAGCAGCTTACACTTACCTACTCAACGTCCTCTTTATCCAATTAAAATATCATAATTCATCACAATGTTGAACCGTGGAAGGAAACCAGGCCTGGTTTGTTGTTTCTTTACAGTAATATGTTCAAGATTGATGTGTGTATGTCGCTGCTGTGTTGATTTACCATATCACCCCTGTTAGCTTGTAATATCAGCAACATTATCAGAACATTTCAAGTTGTTTGGCTGACAGAAAAACAGTTTTTTTTTTCTTGTTTTCTTGTCCTCAGTGCCCGACGACCTCACACCTGAGGAGCAGATAGAACTGGAAAACATCCGCCGGCGAAAGCAGGAGCTGCTGGACGATATTCAGGTAATGAAGAACTGGGGTCGAGACATTCATTCAGCTCTAGCTCTGATATGAGCTAAATGTTTTAGCTGCATGTGTAGTAGAGGCTCTTTGTTTTTTTTGTTTGTCTTATTATTAAATAATTGAATGTTTGGTAACACTTCCATATAGGGACCAATTGTCACTATTAACTTGTTGCTTATTAGCATGCCTATTGTTAACATATCGGCTGTTTATTAGTACTTATAAAGCACATATTCTGCATGACCATATTCTACATCCCTAATCCTACCCAATACCTAAATTTAACAACTAACTATTAATAAGCAGCAAATTAGGAGTTTATTGAGGGAACAGCCGTTAATAGCAAGAACAGCAATTTAACCTTAAAATAAAGTGACCGAATGTTTCAGTTTTTCTCTGCATCTGTCCTCCACTCAGTTTAGCTGAATATCTTCTGATCTTTTATTAAATGTGTAGCAAGCAGTGCCTTGTTAGCAACAAAACGGCTAACAAAATGACATTGAAACAGAAATGTGACATAAACCAGATTGAGAAATTTGAAATATCAATATTATGGTGTTTCGGCATTCGGTATTCTCCCAAATGTGACACGTTTATGGAAATTTAGTAAAACAAAGACAGACTGATGCCCCATATTTTACTCTTGCTAGTTATTTTGAAAGGTTTTCTTTGGCATTCGCATTCTGTATTAATGTGCCAAGTTGCTTAAATAAAAATAAATAAATAAATAAAGGGATGAGTTATATTATCATTTCAACTTATTTCACAGCTGCTATTCAGGAATCTAAAAATATATGTGGTGATAATGTAGAATCTGACCAGTAATTCACTAAATATGAACACAATTCGTCCAAATAGGAAATGACTCAAGCTGACAGGAACAGGGCGGAATTGTTTAGGAAAGGACACTCATACATGAGCTAAATGCTGATCATTTTCAGCTTTACTACTATGACACAGTCAAATCAATTCAATCTGTCATGGCACTGACCTCCAGAATACAACATACTTACTTCAAATTACTTTTTTCCATGGGAATGTTTAATTTCTTACAGCTTAACAAATTTACGAAAACTTCCCTGCCCTCTCTAAAACAAATTTCTACATGTTAAGATCTTCTGACAGAAGTGGTTCTGTTTTCCTTTGGGAAGACGAACGTCTGGGAAAACCAAAACAGCCTTTTCTTTGCTAGTGAATTTTTTAGACATATAAACAGACAAGAACAAACACTTGAGCGAATTTCACCACCATACAGTTGGTGGTTAAACAGGAAAAATTAATACGAGGAGGGAAAGCTCTTCATTGTGGGACCTCAGGACCGGTCTGGCTCCAGACCGTCACTAAACTCTTGGCAGAAGAACTCTTGGCATTAATCTCTACAAACTAATAAGTAAAATAAATCCAATTTTGATGTCTCTAGTCTTTACTCTGGGGCCATTCTCCAGTTGCCCTCCTTTAATGACATTTATATCAAACAGAGCAGTCTAGAGCAAACGATTCATTCGCTGGAATTAGATTTGAGACGTTAATGTCAGGCCTCGGTGAGGTGGGACAGGACACATGCAAAGACTGCCACAGTACTCTCTTCTAGTAGACCTTTACACATTGTCCTAATCATGCACAGATAAGTGTGTTTAAACCAACCTCTATTGGTTGATTTTGTTGCTTCATGCTGAATTTCGCTTTCTTTGAAGACCGAAAATTTCATAGCTTCTTTGTAGGACATGGTTACTGTAAAAGCAAATGGGGTTGCTTTACTCACAACACAACTCCAAACAGAATGTGCATGTCTTTTTGTTTCATTTCTCGTCTTTATCAACCACTATAGTAGTGTTATTATTATCTCTGTCTTGTTTGATTTGAACCATCTCATGTCCTCTCACCACAGCGTCTGAAAGATGAGATAGCCGAAGTGACTAGTGAGATCGAGAACCTGGGTTCCACAGAGGAGAGGTGAGCGGGCATCCCCTGACAGACTACTCACACCCACTTCACTTCCACTGATGTGGTGATCCACTGATGTGCTCACTTTGTGAGTCATTCGTGAGGTCAAATCTGACTAGCTCCGACGCGGCCACTCTAGTCAATGCTTGTGTTTACACCAGCAGCGCCGCGCACGTTTGATTTAAAATGAGAAAATTACTGATTTAAAATTACTTTTGGATCCATTCACAGATTATGGAGGATGTCAGTATGGCTGTATATTAGGGGTGGACGATATAGCCTCAAAATTATATCACGATATTTCAAGAATATTTGCGATAACGATATTTATGACGAAAGTGACTTACCCCTTATTTACCCCTAATTTACACTGCGTTACGGCTCCGACGCGGCCACTCTAGTCAATGCTTGTGTTTACACCAGCAGCGCCGCGCACGTTTTCAGAATCATCCCAGAAATTTATACCGGTATTATCGTGGACGGTATGATATGGCACACCCCTACTTTATATGAAAAAAAACCTTATGAAATCTTTTGTAAAAGGGCATAAAAAAACATTTATGAACATCATAAATTTATGTTTAAAAATCATTATTATCGCTGCAGGAAAAACATGCAGAGGAACAAACAAGTGGCAATGGGCCGCAAGAAATTCAACATGGACCCCAAAAAGGTGATTAAGCAGTCTATTAAAGCATATTCACTGAATGAATGTTGTATCATTTGTCTTTTTTAAAGGCTCAACACCTTCAATACATGTGTTTTTGTAGGGGATCCAGTTCCTCATTGAAAATGACCTTGTGAAGAACACCAGTGAAGACATCGCACGCTTCCTCTACAAGGGTGAAGGTCTTAACAAGACCGCAATAGGAGACTACCTGGGAGAGAGGTGAGTGTGTGGATATTAGTGCACGTCCACACTCAATAGAAAATAAACTGACGGAACCCAGTAGTGATAGTGATGTTTGACTATTGATGCAAGTCATTTTTTCAGGGTTTAAATCAGGGCTAATTGGTAGCTGCAGTCTATCCATCTGTGTTTCTTTAAGATGCTGAAATTAGCAACATTTCACTGGCTAAAAGGTCAATTGTGTCCACTGTCAGCAGTGTAGAGATGTACACAAAGCACTGCTCCCACAGAAGTCAGCTTCATCCCAAACAGCATTCTGCTGGTCAATTCATGATGAAAAATCTGTGTGGGGAAATGTTTTCCTCCTACGCAATATTACCGATCACACAGATTCCTGTTGAAAAATGCAATGCAAAATTTCGCCGTTCAATGGTAAATGTGACTGTGAAGTGTCTCAAAAGACAAGTCAATCATTTGGTTTGGTGTTGCATATTTGCATCAACAAAATATAGCTAATATGGCACCAAAATTCATATCGCTGAATAATCTTGACTTTAAAACTTGTAAGCAGCATTAAATTACTTCTATACCTTTAAACCAACCATTAGTAGAAACATTAGTTTAGTTTAATATCTGTCAGCCAGTCTTTGTGCAAAATTCCTGGAAACCGGTGTCATCTTCTTACTGCAATTTGTACAGAGATATGGGATAATGTGGATTTCTCTGATCAGCCTTTTATCCTGACTCTAAGCTCATTTGACTCTTCATATTGAAGGAATGTTGACTCAAACAGGACTAAAATTTGGTAATTCAAAGAGGCGTATTATTCTAGTTCCCTGGGCAACACCTAGTGACTGGGTTGCATCTGCGCAAGAATTCCTTTTTTTTCCTTCTTTGTCTCATCTTGGATTTCATTCCCACCGCTTCCTTGTTTTGTCTACTGCTTCAGTCTGGGTGTGGCTGCTGAAAAAGTCAGGAAATGGAAAGCAGGGCTCTCTCTAAGACAGCAGATCAGATTGTATCTCTGAGCACTTCAGTTCCTCTGGTAGGGAGGGGTCTGCGGTGCTTTGTTCAGTGAGTGCACTGTCACCAGATCAAGATCGCCATCATCCCCATGAGGGATATCACATCCTCTGCTTGTAGAGGTTAAATGGCAAGGCTTTGAAAAATGGTGCAGTGCTGAATGATCCCACATCCACTTTGACTTGAATAAGTCTTGTGCAAGAGAATTATGAACTTTTATCCACCCATAATAAGACAAATTTGCTTATCCTTATTGCATGGAAATGAGCAGCCAGTACATTTTTCGAAATCTCTCCTTTTGTGTTCCATGAAATAAAGAACGTCACTCTGGTTTGAAACAACATGAGAGTGTTATTAAAAATGACAGGATATTTATTTGTGGGTGAGTCACTCCTTAAAGGAATAGTTCACCCAAAATGGAAAATTCTGTCATTTACTCATCCCCATGTCGTTACAAACCCTTAAGACTCATCTTTGAAACACAAATGAAGGTATTTTTTTAAGTGATTTTTGTCACTTCATTGAAAATGAATTCCACCAAAACTTTCAAGCATCAAAAAGTTCATAAAGGCATCATAAAAGTAGTGCATATGAATCAAGCAGTTTAATCCAAATCATCTGAAAAAATAAATAATTTGTATATGATGAACAGTTTTAATTTAGTCTTTCATTCACATATAAATAATTAGCAATGCACATGTACAGAACACTTAAATATATGGTAAGCATAAGATGAACAAAAATATTATAGGTCTGGGATAAAAAGAGTTTTCTGTTTGAGTGAACTATCCCTTAAAACTATCAAGTGTACTAAAATTAGTAACTTACTACTTGCTCTCATTTTCACTTTGTTCAACAGGGATGACTTCAATATTCAAGTCCTTCATGCTTTTGTGGAGCTGCATGAGTTCACAGATTTGAACCTGGTTCAGGCTCTCAGGTAAAACTGACTGTAGAATCCAGTATGGGCTCAATTAGTCTCTATTGGTATGTTCCAAATGGCATACTACCTACTTCTTTTCATTAGAAAATAATATGCAGTATGTATAATGTGTGGAAATTATTCATTTGGAATTTATGAAAGACCTGCTATATTTGCCACTGTGTGCAGTATGCAAACAACACAATTCATTGGGTACAGCATCCCAGTATATCAGCTGTGATATCAGTGACATCAGACCACCAAGTATGCAACATAATGAAATCATAATGTGGCAACAGATGCTGTTTGAAATATTTCAAATAATACTACTACATGATTACTGTAACTACTGTATAAAAAGCAGTACACTGGCATTTCATTGTAAATATAAACAGTGTATTTCACAAGAAGTATATGTAATTTAATCTCATTGCTTAGTGTTTTGATCCTGACGCACACATCTCACTTTGAATGTCCTGGTATGTAATGTGTTTTAAATATCATTGTGATATTTGTCTCCACACAGGCAGTTTCTCTGGAGTTTCAGACTTCCTGGTGAGGCCCAGAAGATTGACAGAATGATGGAGGCGTTTGCCCAGCGCTACTGCCAATGCAACCCGGGAGTCTTTCAGTCCACAGGTGGCTCTGCTTTACATTTTAGTCTGTGTTCTGTGTTCAATCATGCATTTATAGCATTTCCAAGAAACATGAGCTGTGTTTTACCAATATTGCTTTCCACAGTAATGCTCACAAATTGAGAGTTTGAAATATTGAATTGGACAGATGCATTCTTCTCTAAATAAATACAGAGTTCTGGCATGAAACTCTAGATTGCGCAGTCCGATAGGTCTAACTCAATCTGACCTAATGACATCATTATCACATGGCACAGCTGATTGGTTCTCTCCTGTATCGGTAGACAATGAGCTCGCTGCTCAACATTCAAATATAGGACTAGTGCTTGCCGTAGCAGTTGCAGCTTGCTTCAGAAACCCTCCACCTTCCCCAGCTCCACCTGTATAGATCAGCTACGAGGTGATTCGTGTATGCTATATGGGGGTTATTTCATGTATGTTATATTTGCAGCAGCAATATTTCTTACATGCTCACAGCAGCATGTTGTGGATGTATTAGCAGTAGCAAGTCTCGGTACTTGCTCTGCCGCAGCAGCGTAGCAGATCTATTCTGCCAAGACCAAATACATTAACATTGTCATGTACATTACCATGCCAATCCCTCCAAGAGTTGTCATGACAGAAATTACATTTACCAGTAGCCTATATTTCCAACAGGTAAAAAAAAATTCCAGGCAGATGGCATTAAAAAAATGTATTGTGTGTAAATGCTAGCAAGTTGTTAAATGCCCTCACACACATATTTACACCTTGCTACCCTACACACCCTTTAAGTTCTGTGTTTGGTCTGTTTGCTGTGTATGTATTAGACACTCTTCTTGGATGTTTATGTCATGTTCACCCTCAGTAACTTCACAGTCATACAACTATTTAGTAGCATTCATTCGACTTACAGTATGAACATGAACTATTTAAATGACAGTGATGGAAAGATGCTGAATGTCATTGTAAATGGTTGTGACGAACAGCATGTTTTTTTGCAGACACATGCTACATTCTGTCCTTCGCCATCATCATGTTAAACACCAGCCTTCACAACCCAAACGTTAAGGACAAGCCCACAGTAGAGCGATTCATCTCCATGAACAGAGGCATTAATGATGGAGGAGACCTGCCAGAAGAACTGCTCAGGGTTGGTCTCCTCGCTCTCACTTCTTTTTATGTCTGTAGACGTATTTAGGCTATATTGTTGTTGTATTTGTTTCTCCAAGTGATGTATATTTCATGTGTTCCCAATGTATTATACATTATTTTCTTAGACCAGGGTTCCTCATTTCTGGTCCTAGAAGAGCCACTTTCCTGTAGAGTAGCTTTCTAGAGGACTTTGCCCAAACATTCTGAATGAATAACACACTTTTTAATGCATTCTGTCTCACCATATAAGCATATTTGTGGCTGTTCTGTAGGTGGCGTGCATGTGCTTGTTTATCTTTTGAACTTCATAGTCTTTTGCTTTGACTTTTGCAGAATCTATATGAGAGCATCAAGAACGAGCCCTTCAAAATCCCTGAGGATGATGGCAATGACTTGACACACACTTTCTTCAACCCAGACAGAGAGGGCTGGCTGCTCAAACTGGGTGAGTGGGACTACATGAGTACAATATGTATTAATTTTTTTACCTTCACATGCACTTACACTTGAATAAGAGATGTCCTGATCGAACACATGGACTGAGTGTGAGATTTAATGTTTACACGCACTTCCTGAAAGCCAATTTCTATGATCTTCACAACACTTCTACACATCAGATTATACAGTAGCACATCTTTCCCTCTGCTCTCACTTCATATGAAGGTAATCACATTTCATGATCACAATGAATCAACTGCTTGAGATTGCACACATCCTTTTATAATTGCACATAATTCGGTTGGATGTTAGGAATCGGAGCGCTGTCACTGTCATGAGAGCTGCAAGAGAAACTGCTCCTTCAGTTTTCAGTTATAAAACGACAACTGGTTGTTATTTTAATGAATTACGCTCATTAATAGGTATATCCATGATTACTGTAAAATGCTGAGAAACACACCTATGAGTGCACTTTGTGAAAAAATTCCCAAGCAGTTGAATTTTATTAATTTATATGACTTTCCAGGTCTAGAAATCACACTTTTATAGTTCTTCAAAGCCACCTGGTTGAGAATCACAGCTTCAGAGCATTATAGAGACTTCATAGACTTCATTTTTTACAGGGAACTTCATTGAGGGTTTCACAGAGAGCCCACCAATTATTGTTTGAAATGACAATGCGCAACAAAAATACTAGTGCTGTCAAACGATTAATCGCGATTAATCGCATCCAAAATACATGTTTACATAATATATGTGCGTGTGCTGTGTATATTTATTATTTATAAATACACACACATGCATGTATATATTTAAAATATATATATATTATATTTATATATTAACTGTTTATATATTAACTAGATTTATATATAATATAAATTATATTAATATAAATATATACACGTAAATACATGTAAATATTTTCAAAATATGTACTGTATGTGTGTGTATATTTATATATAAATAATAAATATACACAGCACACACACATATATTATGTAAACAAAAACTTTTATTTTGGATGTGATTAATCGCGATTAATCATTTGACAGTACTAAAACAATACAATATTTAACTTCAAAAGTTGGTCACTCCCATATTGTAATTAAGTAAAATAGCATGTATTTTACACAAATATGATTCATACATATACATCAGTGATACTGCTTTGCAGTATAAGCATCAAAACAAAGTAAATTCATTTGTATTTTACTATAGCATATTATTATAAACCATGCTTAAAATGGTCTGAAAAGACCCCTGAAAACAAAACTGCACCCATAGACAATTTCCCTTTTCATTGATATGAACAGGAAAGCTGTGTTAAACTTTGTGAATTGAATGCTTCCCAGTGTATATTTGTACTTTTATCCGCTGTTTTATTTTGGAATGGTCCTCCGTAATTCACAGCAACAGGAAATGCACAAGTTCTTCCTTTGATCAGCGTGTGGGTATGATTTCCTATTTAATTTCTTTTTTTTTTGTTTCCTTTTCTTCCTCGTTTGTTTGTTTGTTTGTTCCCATGATTTTGGCTGTTGTCTTTCCCTCAGGAGGTATGTACACCTGTTCTTCCCAAACAATCGCTCATCTCTCGCTCTCAGGTGCTTTTGGTGATCAGCCTTGCTTCCTGTCCCCTCTTTCTGTTATTAGACGCTCTAGGTTCTTTTTTTTCCCCCATGGGGTTCGTCTTTCCATGAGTTTTTACTCTAGTTTTTACATGTTCCTTCATTTGTTTGTCTGATCGCTCGTTTTATTCATTGAATCAGCGATTTTTGTCCATGTGCTGCCCTGTCCCTGCGTGGTGGCGGGTGCTTGGTTTTTGATTTTGTGACCACCGTATTGAAGAGCACCTCTCTCTGTTTGCTGTGGTGTTCAAAACGTTCTCTCTGTGTCATTTCCACTTTGGGAGCTGCAGTATTTTCTGCTTCCTCTCAGTCTGAACGGAGCCCAACAAACACAGATGAAAACAGCAACAAAAGCAGATTAAAGGGATCAGCACATAAGATTAAAGGCATAGTTCACCAAAAAATGAAAATTCTGTCATCGTTTACTCACCCTCATGTTGTTCCAAACTCATATGATTTTCTCCTGAGGAACACGGCATCTGTCCCCATTCAGATTCATTTTATGTAGCGATACACTGCAATAAACTGGTATAAATTTGTCAACAGTTACAGATTTTGGATTATCGTATCTTTGCGGTTAAGCCATACCAATTAAAAAAATATATAAATCAAGTGATTTTAAACCATTCAAGCACTATAAACCGCAAAAGAGAACTCAATTCAGTACTTGCACAATGTCTGAGAGACGTTTCTGTGTAAACAAACCCGAAGCACGTGAACATAAAGTCACCTCTCAGATGCAAACGTTTGCATCCTTTTGTGCTTAAATGGGCAAATACACAAAACACAGCTGGTTATTTCTCAGTTGGTAGAAAATCATGTGTATCGGTACAGTATATTAGATTTGTGCATTAGGTCTTAAAGTGACAGCAGCCTAACACCCCTGCTACTGTCTGTGTAATGATAATTAAACAATAAAAGACAAAGAGAAAATTACTCACTGCTCTTGAATGAGTAATTTTTGTAGATTTAATAAGAATCAATGTATATTTAATTCATATATAAAAGGCTATGCATTTTTTTAACTTTTGATTACTTATTCAATTTATGTAGTATTTTTTTTGTTTGTTTTGTTGTTGTTGTTTATAGATGGATGTGAAAAAGATAAACCTGAATTATTTTCATTGTTCATGTTTTCTTACTGTATGTTTACTTTTGAGCTTTTACTTGCATTAGTTAGGCTAGTATTTTTTAGTATTAGTTCTTGCAGTGAATTGTCGAGGATTGTGAAATTTCTAAATATAAATAAATAAATCTAAAATGATGTCAGGACAAACATATTTTAGGCAAAAATTACTTTTTTTAGCTAAACTAATACTGTTATCATTAAATAAAGTTGCACATAAGATTTTGGTTATATAAGATTTTGGAAAAGAGCAGCTTGGACATACTTCTAAATATTGTCTTTTGTGTTCTATTGAAGAAGGAATTCATATGGGTTTGGAACAAAATGATGACAGAATGTTCATTTCTCTGTGAACTGTTTCTTTTAAAATGATATTCAATCATTAATGGTTGAATGTCTGGAGTGCACAAGATGTGGTGTTTGATCTGATTAGACTGAGTCAGAAAAATGCATCTGGACCAAAGACTGCTGTTCTTCATGCTGTATGTAAAGTATAGATGTGTGTGTGATGCTGGATTGCAGTGCTGAGGAAAGTGTGTGTGTGTGCGTGTGTGTGCTTGGTCAGATCGGACTCACCACTAGGATGCTGGGTGAGGGTGGGTTTCGTGAATCACTGAAACCAAAATCAAACCATAATCTGAAGTGTTCTGATTCACTCTCAAGTCAAGAATATGAGATATGCACATACATTTGTATAATAAAAGACTTCTAAAAGAAATCAAGGATTGAGCCTTTTTGTTGTCACATCAGAGACCTGATTAGGAACGCCCATCGCTCACCCAGCCCTGTATCAGTGTCTGTCAATCAGTCAGTCTGCCTCCTCTGCAGCCCAGCAAGGCTCCTCATGCCCCCCTCCACAAATCTCCTCCCTCTCTGAGGCATTTCTGGACGGGGTTTCTGCTGTACGCCCGCAGCTGGAGTGATCATTAATCACAGCCGATAACTCAATCAGCCAATCAGCTTGCTCAGAAACCTCTCACCTGCTGTAGTGCTCTGATTCGTGTTTGTTTTGTTTGTCGCTCATGTCAGTATTAGAATACAATGGCAGTCTGTAGTGCAGGAGGATCATTTCCTGTTTAGCAGAAATGCTTGAAATGCTTTTGGGTGCTTGACATGACCTGCTTGTGTGCAGTGCTGTATTGCATAGAAAACGAATTGAACAACATTAGGCCTGTCATGATCATGAATTTTGTGCTGAAGATGATTTTTTGTGTTTTACAGGAAAACATGTAATTATATTTTTTCACTGCTGTAAAAATAACAATTTAAAAGTTGATTTTTCTTTCATTCACTAATCACACTAATCATTCACACTGGAGCTCAGCAGACCTGAAATATAATATAATATAATATAATTAATATAATATAATATAATATAATCAAAGACTATCCATTATGACATGTAGGCATTTTTATGTATATGTACAGAATAATCATCTTTTAGATTTTAATTCTTTAATTTTTCATTTTTAAAAATGTTTGTGTGCTGCTGCACGTGTGTAATAAGAAAAGTGTATGCGCGTTGTTCACCCGCCTATAGGCGCATATTACTAATGCGCTCTTTAAATAACAAAAAATAAATATTTTATTTTTATCGCCAGACTTTAGACCAGGTTTCAGTTGGTCAATGGCTCAAAATAGCAACGCACCAGCAATGCACCTGAACACACCTCATTTTCAGACCAGCACACCCATGGGTGCACAAATGGGCGCAAATGCATTTGCTATTTAAACAACGTGGCGCAGGACGTGAAAATGACAACTGCGTCGGGCTGAAACTAGCAAAAAACACTTGCGTCGCGCCTAGTGCCGCATTGCGCCTGGTGTATGATAGGGCCCTATCTTTTCGGTTTTCAAAATAAAAGCCTGTGGCTTTTTTTAAGACTAGTAATAGCTTTAAAAAAAGTCACAAGGGGGTTTTATTGATGTATTTTATGTCTTCAAATAAAATGTAAGCATATGCTTAGCCTGTTAACCACAGACCTTATTTCAGGCCAAAAATCCATTTTAAAACACCCATTGACAAGCGGATGTTGATCTCATTTCAGGGTTTTGTTCTACAAAAATATCATCTCTGCTGCACTCTTGATTCTTGTTCTTAGTTTAGTTTAGTCTTTTAGTCACTTTTAGTTTTAGGCATTGTCATTCAAGTCTACATTTTATTAATATTTTTACATTTTTGCTAATTATATGGATAAGAAAAGAGGACAAGAAATAATGACAAGAAGATGACTGGGAAATGACAACCTTTGTGCATTTCACATGTTTCTGGAAAGCAAACATCAACTAGTTCTAGAGCTTATTGCTCCGTTTAAACACGTTTTACCTTTGGCTGGTCCTTTCAGAGGTAAACAGAGTTTTTGAGCGGGGTTAAGAGGAATGGCAACTCTCAGGTGAAGGTCGACTCGTGGCGTGTGTTGGACCGCGGCTGGTTTGAGCATGGTGTGGTGCTGCTGGTAAGGAATGCTGTGCTTGGGCCTTATTGGACATGGAGTCGCTGTAGAAGAGCTCTCATTGTCTGTTCATCTGTCTGTCTGCTCTTCTGCCGCTCAACTCTTCAGCTGCACGGATCTGTGACGTCTGACGCCTCATCACACGGAAAACTAACTCTCATCTTTTGTTCCTCAGGGGGACGCGTCAAAACCTGGAAAAGACGGTGGTTCATTCTCACAGATAACTGCCTTTACTACTTTGAGTACACTACTGTGAGTACTGAGGAAAGAAGAACTTGTCATGCTAGATGGAGAGATTTATGGCTTTTTTTTGTGTGATATCTGACATGCAAAACCCTTTTCGTCGTCTTCTTTTTTGACCCAGCAATAGATGATGGTGAATTGTAATAAATGGAAACGTGTCTCTTTTCATGTAGGATAAAGAACCAAGAGGCATCATCCCCCTGGAAAACCTCAGCATCCGTGAAGTGGAGGACAAGAAGCCGGTAAAACATCCTTCTCTGCTATTTTGAAACTGCAGAGACAGGATCTTTTCCTGATTATCTAGGGAGAGTTGACACCGTGTCTCCCCCCGGTGGTCAGATGTGTGATTGTCTGCATGTGTTTGCTTCTCAGAACAGCTTTGAGCTCTTCATCCCTGACAATAAGGACCAGGTGATCAAGGCGTGTAAGACCGAGGCGGACGGACGGGTCGTTGAAGGAAATCACACCTTCTACCGCATCTCCGCTCCCACCACTGAGGAGAAAGATGAATGGATGAACAGCATTAAGTGAGTGGATATTCTGGTTTAAATACAGCTCATCTATGTTAATGGAATATTCATTTGTGATCAGATCCAGATAATTCCCGTTCTGGAGTCAGGTATTTTTCTATAATGACACAATGTATAACTGACCACTGTATCATTTCAGTGGTTCCCCACACAGCTGGGCTAGTTTTGTATCTCTCATATGACTCCACTCTCACTTTCTTCTGACATAATGAAATAAGTCAATATTTAATGTAAATTCAATGTGTTTTTTTACACTAAGCGCAAATAGCCCATCTTGTTGGCAGAGGCACAAACATGTGGTTGGGATAGACAAAAGACCTGAGTTTGAATTAGCCTTTTGCCGAACTCGTTCCTCTCTCTTTCTTCCCTCTTTTCCCATCACATATCAGATCGGAAAGGTGTTTATTTTCAATAAAAATGGAGGGAACATTCAAAAAGTGGAGAAAAAAAAGTAGAGTTAGGGGTAGGTGCATGACGGGTTTTTACTGTCCATTTAAAGGGTTAGTTCACCCAAAAAGGTTGAAAAATCAATAACAGAATTTTTATTTTTGGGTGAACTATCTCTTTAAGGCTGCTTCCATTTACTAATAAAAATATATATAATTTACACGCAATATGTTATTACTGCGTACTGTTTTGTAATGTACTACAATACTGAGGTGCAAATATCTGCCAAGAAGCCTATAAATAGCATCTACAGTAACTACTATTTACATTTATTGCAAAGAAAATACTGCTTTTTACATTTTTATGTATAGCTCTTTATACAGCACAGGTTGTTTCAAAGCAGCTTCTTAGTAATAAACAGGAAGATAACAGCATTAATGTTGCAAAATTCAGGTATGAAACTAATTGAATTTCAGCTGTAAAGCAGCTTTACAGTAGGACAGTAGTGTTGTTATTCAGTGTTGATTAGATTTAACAATGTCAATGTTGTAAAGTTCATCAAATATGAAATGAATTCAGTTGTGCTCTACATAAGATCAATTCAGATTTTGGGCCAGATATACTAACAGCTTGTGTCAGCGCAAACCGTCTTTTGCCGTTAAAATAATAGTCAGGATTTACTAAAGAATTAGTGCTGAAAAGTCGTGGACACAGTTATTTTTGCGCCTGACCTTAATGAATATGCATCTGTAGGAGTTTCCCTTTCAAACGCAAAATTTATGGGAGGAGAGTATTAAAATGAATCACACAACGTGATTTACTAACGTTTGCACTCGTGAAATTACTGCTATTTGCGCCATTATTTAACACCCAAAAGAGCCTGTCTTAAAGCAGGCGGTAATTTGCGCTGCTCTGTGTAGATTGCGCTGGTCATTATGGAAATTATCTGGCTGCGTCGGAGTTCTTTAATGTGTGCATTGTTAGTAAATCACTCGCAGAATTTTTCCTTCCCATCGGCGCTTTTATGGATATGTGGTCTAATGCTAATTTGCCTTGTTTAGTAAATCTGGCCCTAAGTTTTGTTCTCATCCAATAGTATCAGTCAAATCGATAATATTCGAAAGTATTAAGTGTTATTTAAAGGGATAGTTCACCCCAAAATGAAAATGTGATGTTTATCTGCTTACCCCCAGGGCATCCAAGATGTAGGTGACTTTGTTTCTTCAGTAGAACACAAACGAAGATCTTTAAATCAAACCGCTGCAGTCTGTCAGTCATATAATGGAAGTGAATGGGAATCACGGCTTTGAGAGTCAAAAAAACATACACAAACAAAACCAAATTAAACCCTGTGGCTCGTGACGATACATTGATGTGTAAAGACACGAAACGATCGGTCTGTGCAAGAAACTGAACAGTATTTGTATCGTTTTTTACCTCTGATTCACTGCAATGTCTGAACTGTCCAAACTGTCCTGAGCGCGTCCGCGTCTTCTTCGTCAGCCGGATCGCAGACTTATAAGTGCATTACCGCCACCTATCTCTCAAATGGACCATTGACACTCCTAATTGAGATTGTAGACAGAGTGTCAATGGTCTATTTGAGAGATAGGTGGAGAGGTAAAAAACGATATAAATACTGTTCAGTTTCTTGCACAGACCAATCATTTCGTGTCTTTACACATCAATGTATCGTCACGAGACGCAGGGTTTAATTTGGTTTTGTTTGTGTATGTTTTTTTGACTCTCAAACCGTGATTCCCATTCACCTCCATTATATGACTGACAGAC